TACGATAATGACCAGATTATAACGCAATTTAAATCTCACCATAACTGTGAGAATGAAATGGGTTTGATGCCTCTAATTTGTAAAAAACTATTGGAAGCACGGGCTGAAGCTAAAAAATTTATGAAAATCTATGCAAATGATCCTGTAAAACTATCATATTTTACATCAAGATCAAACGCGTTAAAAATTTCGGCCAATTCTGTTTATAGTGAAACTGGGTATTTCTTCTCTCCTTTCTATCGAAAGACGATTGCATCATCTGTCACTGCGTTTTCACGTGAAACTATTAAAAAAGTGATCACTTTCTTGGAATCAAAACAATGTAACATCATATATGGTGATACTGATTCGGTCTTCTTTATGATTCCAGAAACTCATTTCTCTGAAATCGACTCTCTTTATTCTCATGATAAACAACTTCACTACTCAGAATCTATAAAAAAATCTATAGAATTCACAAAACAGATCACACCTATAGTCAACTCTTTTATGGAGCAGGAAACAGGGTTTTCGTTTATGAAAATGGCATATGAAAAAGTCCTTCATCCTTCTCTTTTTCTCCATAAAAAACAATATAGTGGTATAGTTCATGAAAATGCTTCTAATTTTACAAATCCAAAACTCTTAATAAAAGGTTTAAAAATTGTAAAGCGTAACGTATCTCTATTCTATAAGACGGTTGCCACAGATCTTATTTGGTCTTGTTTAGGGTTTAATAAACAAAAACAAATATTGGATTCGGAATTAAAAATACCATAAGAAATAGCTTGAGATGTGATTTCGAAATATACTTCTGCACCTGTTTTAAATCTAGATCTATTCAAATTAACAGCAAAATATGATCCAACATATAGGGAAAAAATAGTTACTCTTCATGAATTCATTAATGAGTACTGATCAAAAAAACAAACTTCCGACAATACAACATCTGAGAAAAAAACCAAAAAAGGAAATACCATGGTTCTTAATTTTGCTGAACGATATGAAAAAACTGGCAAAAAATTGGTTCCTGGACGCTTCGAATACTTCATTTTGTATCATATGCAAAAAAAAAATAGATATTTCCCAGAAAATGTGCTTGACAAAAGAATATACTTCAGATAAAGTAATTAATATCATGTACTATTTTAATAGTCTTGCTAATATTTGTGCATCACTTCTCTCATGTGATACTAAACAAGCTTTAGAAACGATTAAAGAAATCTACGATGCTGATAAAAATAAGATACAACTGTTGGTAACAAATTATTTCTTTTCGCCTCTATCAGAAAATAAAAAACATACATTATACCCCCCATCTTTTTATATCTCCCATAAATGACAGAAAAAATAACCGAATGTTTTATTCAAAATTAGCTATTTGTATATAAATTAATAAATTTTATAACAATTTTATTCAGTACGTTTTAGTACCGAATAAAAAATATTTTGTTCAAACATGAATTCCTCCTCGTTATCGTTATTAATATTCTCAAATGAGATTTTATTTTTGATCTTTAAAACCTTAAGAAATGAAATAGATCAATTTCACCTTGGTCTGTCATGCAAAAAATTACGCGCTATCTATACTCACCAGGAGTTTGATCCTATGAATTATCAATTTCTGTTCACCAATCCAACACATCCTTTTATTTTTCGAAATGGACATCACACGAATAGAGAATCTATCAAATTTGAAAAAATTTTATGTACAAAGAAACGCAAATATGTTTTTTTTAACAAAATGTATAACAGATGTGAAAATTGTAAAGCTCTAAAGATCGACTGTGATAGCAAAATAGAATGTACGAGTTGTAAAATGAAAAAAATACAATGTGTTAAAACTGATTTTAAAAAGGTGTTATATAGATCAACAACTGGTAGATATTTTTGCTATGCACCAAATTCGAAAGAATTGATGTTCAAAAATATGCGGGCGATATAGAACTTATCGGAAAAGATGAATGTGAGAGATGTAAAAATATGAGATTTTGTAACCCTTCTTTCGTTACTCATAATTGTTGTGGCATTCCCACATGTGACAAAAACAACATTATTTTGCCAATTTTAACTCTCTCTAATATTCACCAATACACACATGGACATGTGTTATGTGACGATTGTCACACTAAATGTGATAAGAGAATTTTTTTGGGTAATTTAGTGAAATTAAAACCTTTATTTTAAATTTTATTTTTATGTAGAAAAAACATGTTCGACAGTAAATCTAACAATATCATTTCTATTCGCCACAACTTCTGTTAATATTAAAAATATCAAATCTATGTTTATTTCGACGATTTCTAGTTTTAGGTTATATGTAAAACCATTATTGGCAAAAGTATACATATTAGTTTTTGTTTTAACATATTTCATCAGTTTTTCTTTATCAAGTAATTTTTCAAAAAAATTACTGTAAAATCGTGTCGATTTTTCAAAAGTGTTGTAAAATTTAATAATGTCAGAATATTCCATAATTCTGATTGTATTTTGATCAAATTTTTGATAGTTTACAAATTTTATATTCATTTTTTATTTTATTTTTTAGCAAGTCTCATTTTCATTATTTATATAACTTTTTATCGATTATTCAGTGACATTTCACCGAATAATCTTTTAATAAAACATCTTCAATTCTGGTGGCTTAGCTTTTAACAACTATATAAACCTCAGTATTCTTCCTTCCCTCTTCTCAATCCTTCTTCGTTTTTCAACCAATCAGATTCAGGTGAGAGAGCCGTTGCTGTGTTCTTTTTATTTATCAACCGATAAATTCATTCACTAACTCTCACTTTCCCACACTCTTTATAAAATGATCGATCGACTGACCGATTCATGTTTTTAGCAAATAGGTAAATATAAACCAGGTTTTTATGCTGTGCGTCAAGGTCGTAAAAAAGGAATTTATGAATCTTGGGAAGAATGTAAAGCACAAGTTTCTAAATTCCCTAATGCGAAATATAAGAAATTTTATGATTTAAAACAAGCACAGAATTATATTGAAGGAAAGAAAGAAGTAATTGAAATTGATCCATTTAAATTACAAGTTTGGACTGATGGGAGTTCATTTGATAATGGATCTTCAAATGCAAAAGCTGGTATTGGCGTGTTTTGGAAAGATGGAGATCAAAATAATTTATCTGAACGTTTACCCGGTGAACAAACTAATAATCGCGCAGAGATCTATGCGGTAATTCGTGCTATTGAAGTTTGTGAGAATAAGAGAAAACCATTACAAATAATGACTGATAGCAAATATGTAATTAATATTATGGAATCTTGGATTAAAAACTGGGAAAAGAATGGTTTTGTTTCGTATCGTAATACACCGATCAAAAATAGTGATTTGATTAAATATTTAAAGAAATTAGTTGATAATAGAATAGGAACTGTTAGTTTTATTCATGTTCGTGGTCATACAGGAAATTATGGAAATGAACAGGCTGATAGATTATCAAAAGAAGGATCGTTAAAAGAAGTTGAATTATTAGAAAGAAATAATTTAACTGAAGTTAAAATTACAGATTATTTTAAAAAATAATCCCAAGTGTTTTTTATTTCTGTATTAAACAATTGTAATAAATATTCAATTTTATATTTAATAAATATTTTTATTATTTAAATTTAAATTTATATTTAAAATTTTAAAACTATTCAAACTTTGTGAGATGTGCCAAAAACAATCAGTGTTGAATTTGGTGAACCAAATTCATAAACGATTGGTGTTTGGTACATCATAACAAAGTTCTTTCACATACACACTGAAGAGAGAGGGAGAGAGAGAAATTTTATTAAAGGGTGTGGGTGCGCCATTTGCGTTCAGCGGCCGGCTAGAGCGCAAAGAGGCGTCATCGAGCAGTTCGGCGGCAGGCCAGAACCGATCAATGAGATATTAGATATTTTATTATTTTTTATTTATGTAAAGATGAAACGAAAAATCAATTCAATCAGTGATTCCTCTTCCGTTAAAAAACAAAAAACAGAAATTCATCCAATTAGTTTGGTTTTTAACTACATAAAAGATCCTTATGAATTTCAAAACGCATCTTTAGTATCTAAGGAATGGAAAAAGATTCTCGATAATCATTAATATTGGAAACATCTTAACGAGCATCTTGAATTACAGGGGCCAAATTCTCGTGCGACAAAATATAAAACTCACAAATCAATTTTTGTTAAAAATGTAAAAAAATTATGTTCCTGTAAATGAAATTTTGGTCAAAAAAATTGAAATCTCGGTCGAATTCATTTTAAATTTGATATTTTGATTCGTTATTGTCAGTATAAGTTAGAATCCAAATATTATAAATTTAAAGTATACAAAGAATTTGTTAGTTTTGTTCGTGATAATCTTTTTAATTTTTTTAATATTAGTAAGAATAATAATGTTTGTTCATTGTGTGATATAGAGTATTTTTTAATAGAAAAATGTCGAAATCTAATTGGTGAAATTTGTGAAGAAAAAAGATCAATTGGATATGAGTTTTGTCGATTTGTTAAGGTGGATTTTGTTAAGGTTGTTATTCGTAATCTATATAAAATTATAAATAATGAATGTTTGTATATAGAGCGTTTTGGTGGATTAGTTAAAAATTATAATTTTAAATATTTATTCACATATGAATATAAAATAAAACTAGATTAAACAATCGATAAACGCGTTAAACAAGTTATCTCTATGTTTTCTGCGCCATACAAATTCTTTTAAGTGTTTTTCAATGAGATTTCTGTTACGATTTCGAGATTTAATATTTAATTTTACTCCGTTCTATAACCTTTCGATATTGTTTGTATGTACACCGGTTCCTTTTTCTATTCTATTTTTGGAGTGGTTTACTCTATGATGTTTCATGTTTAATGAATCGAGATGTGAATATCCATACCATTTATCCGTATGTATTATAGAACGTTCTCTAACATGTTGTTTTATGATATTTCTTAAGGTTGCGGCTTCACGATTATTTGTGAGTACAAAAAAGCATTTTTTCTTTTCAGTACGTTCAATGCCTTCAACAATCCAAAAATCTTTGTATTTTTTAAATTTACTTTTATCAATTTCACAGATGATATTTTTTCCACCAATGATAAAATCATCTGCGGTTAAGCTATTTATTGCTCTATCACAAAAAAATTCTATGAATTTTACGAGTGATTTTGAAGAGTGATTTGTCATCATATTAATAGAAATATAATTCAATTTACATAACCAAAAATATCCAATTAATAAAATATCACAACATTTAATGTTGCAGTTTGCAAAAATGCTTTCTTTGAAAATTGTAACAGTTGTATT